AGAGTCTTCAGAGGTCAGAGGTCAATCATCAAAAGGGGTCAATCTGTCATAGATAAACAAATCCACAAGATCCGTGACGAGGATTCGAACCTACGTCCGAGATCTTCCCAGACGCTGTCTTAATCGACTGAGCTACGACATGGTCAAAAGAGTTAAAACCAGAATTTCTACTGAGCTTACTTGGATATCCTGCAGCCTCTCCGAGACACAAACCAGGGTTTTACACAACTCCCCCCTGCACTCGAGCTATGTCAATAGGCCGTTCTACCTCTTCGCCCTTACTTCATTACACATTCATTGATGTATCATGCTATTGGGATTTCTGACTGTCATGCATACTACTTGTGAAGGAGGAAATGTATATGTTTACCTCTCAGAATGTTTGGTAATATGTTTATTGTTTGTGATGTGTGTCTATGTATATATTAACACGTTGTACTGAACGGGGTGAGAATAGCTTGAGCTACCTCATCCCTTTGTGTGTATTTTACCTCAATAAACTTATTTCAATTTCAATTTCAATTTCTAACTGTCATAGATATATTTTTCTTCTCAAAATGAAGGTTTAAAAACTTTATTTTTGCGTACAGCTATATATATATTTTTTATTAATACAACTGATTGTCATTTTTGTATTTGGTATTGTTGATTAAGTTATGCATACAAACATACGCACGCACCTGTACGCACGTAAGTGTACGTGCGTGCGTGCGCGTACTATCTCTCGCATCGTTCGAATTACGCCCAAACTACCTAAAGACTAAAAAGACTAAAAGACTAAAAGACTAATAAAGATTAAACTGACGACCGTCAACTTACCGACAGTTCGAGCCCCTTTAACGACAGACAAATTACGCAAAACAGGTGTTCATATCCAACACCTGTAAAACCACACATTAAACAGAGTGACAAGAAAGCAATATAATGATAACACTTATTATCATTATTACAGGATTTATAATAATAATATAACTACCTAATAAAAATGAGAGTAAAATAACCAATAAAAATAATGCTAAAGTTACCCCCACAAACAAAGATAACAA